GGTCCCGGGGCATTGGTCTAGTTGTTACACATATCCTTCATTTGAGGTTGTTTTAATTATGATCATTTTACTCAAAGATCTGCCTTCTTCTCGGGGTATTCGATATTTCGAATGGCCTTGGTCTTATATTCTGGATATTTGGTACCCGGGGGTATGGCATTGGTTCTATATTTGGATGTTTGACATGGCATTGGTCTTGTGTTTGGACATTTGATATGGCTTTTTGGGGTTTATTTTAGTTTGTATGAGAACACATTTAATGCCACCCCCCCCCCCAAATTACAAATCTACATCTATTCTCTCTATCCCAAAGGTGGATCGGAAGCATGAAAAACAGATGCAGACTCGGGACAGTTGCAAGGGGGGCTATAATGGAGAAATTCGTTTTGATTTTGAGTCTAACTGAAATATTTTGTCACAAATATTAATTAAATACGCAAATAGCCTGTTTTATTAAATGAGACTAGGGCAAAAAATCTATTCATTAAATCTAAAGCCTAGAGGATATCTTCTGTAATCAAGGTGGTTTTGGTACACTTCCGCAATTATAAAAACAAAAACATAGACTAAGTTATTAATCTTTTGTTATCATATCAGATTAAGTCAGTTTTGTCTCCGATTGTTATGCAGGTGTGTGTATCGACTCCAGTGAACAACATTAAGTGAATCAGTCCTTGAAATTCCCAAATTCATTCCAAATTCTGGCCGTTAACCCCCCCCCCTCCCCCATGTCTCTTAATTACATTTATTTTGCAAATGATATATAAATTATAGATTAAAATATTTCATTTTCGAATTGCACAAAGGGCAACATGTGAAGATAAAACTGCGATCCTAAAGCTACTTGCGAAACAAAGTGGTTTATGGTCCCCAATATCATTATTATATTAATACCAATACAATGTACCTCTATGAATATCATAAATTCACTCCTTTTTAATATCAATAGTCAAACAAATTAAGCAGTATGCTACAGTTGGTTATCAATCGGAGTTCCCGACCTATTGATTACTCTTTAATACAAAATTTAACCATTTTAGAATGGGTAACTCACACCCCCCCCGTCCATGTCCATGAAGTGCGTAGACTGACATAATAGTGTCATTTATTAATTAAACACCACTGATTTATGTTGAGACATTCAGTGCGATTATTTCATTTCTTTGTTCAAAAAGTTAAAGCACCAATTAAATACATATTTTTATCACACAAAAGGGGCAGAATACTTGACCTTGTATCAATTCATATCCCGATAATTCTTTACAAGGGAATGTTTCTTATTAAAACATAAGCAGCGCCTAGGCGTCGATGGGGGGGGGTCAATCCAGTGTTCTCAGGCTATGTACAGCCAAGTATCCTGTTTATGTAAAAACCCTACGTTCCCGAATCACAATCAGACAATTAATTAGTATATTTGCTGTGTCTAGCAATTGATCATAGAATTAGATGTTGCGAAAACTATGGGAACTTGTCTGTTTATGGATAGGCTGGGAAAGAATAGCAGAGAGAATGGTACATTCGATTGAATATGCTTGTTTTGCCCAATTGTGTATTAAAATGCCCCTCATTTATCATATGTATGGTCACAAGTTAAGTCGGCGATAATTTGTATTGACTTAACTTGAAACAAATTACTCCGAAATCCAAATACTCATCGAAAAGTAAGGTTATCTTTATATTAAGCTAATACAAAATAAATATATAAATAGGCCTGATGTATCAGTGTTTTCAAAGTTTATTGCACGTTTTATCATTGAAACGCCTTTCTTTTTCTTATCATGATATGTATTTCCTTCACTTAGGATCAATGCGTCGATTAGCATTGCCTGTAACTGATTTATATTTTCAAAAGGCGGCATGACATTGCCAAAATGTTTAAATAAGTCAATGTGTCAGCGTACATACAAAATAGTCTGTTTAATATTTGCTACATGTACTTGTTCCAAACAGTCTGCGAAAGAATGATTAAAAAATATATCAATTAAAAGTATCAGAGAAAATACTTGCAATCGTTAAAATACTGTATGTATTGCTATTGGTAATTAGGTTAGTTGTTTACACATAATTATGTTGTTCAGTGTGCCAAGAGCGTGTCAAGAGATTCCATTAATTGTCACAGGGCGTGTAAAGACTTTTGACATGGTCTTTACACGTCTTTGCACTGCGTGTGCCAAGAAGTGCAAAGAGGTGTAAAGAGTTGAATTCATCGCGTGTCAAGAGGTGTAAATAATTGGCACATCTAGAAACCCGGCGTGTAAAGACCAGTTTCTAGACGTGTCAAGAGTTGGAATCCCATATTTCACGCAGTGTAGATGGCTTTTGAGGTTCCATTCTTTTAAAAGTGTTCATTATATTTAGCTAAACTCAGTCTATATTTCATATTTTTTACTTCAAAAAATTATTTTTTCCCATTGACTTAACATGGGCACCAAATTTAGCGATTTTTGAGCTTTCAAAACGCCATAACTTCTGAACCGGAAGTCTGATCTAAATTTGGTTTTCAGATTCGGAATCCTGAGAAAATTTCCTATATGACTAATATCCTGGACATTTGATTCGGAGAACTTTTTTTTGGACCTTGTTTTCGGACACTGATATCTCGAAATCGGTTTGAGATATCAAAAAACTAAATCGACCCTAGGTTTTCTATTTTTTTATAAGGAACACAATGAAAAAAACCCGGATCGAAAATATTGAAGGACGACCGAGAAAATCGAAAAAAGTGACAAAGTACTGGATTTGATCTAGTTCTTGACCTTTGATCTAGCTAAAAATTTGACCCAATTTCCGAGGAACTAGATTCTGGACCTAAATTGACCAAATGACTGACTTTACTGAAAACCTTATGGTTATTGAGAAAACTGGGTTAGAATAATAAGAAGAAGAAGAAGAAGAAGAATAAGAAAACTGACGAAAACAATAGACTCCAGATTTCATCTGGAGTCTAATAAGAAAACAGGCAAAAACAATAGACTCCAGATTTCATCTGGAGTCTAATAAAAAGAAAACAGGCAAAAACAATAGACTCCAGATTTTCAATCTGGAGTCTAATAAAAAACCTTAACATTAATTACCCAATATGGGTTACTAGGCTGCAACCTCGGTATGATGTCAGCGGATAGGTTATTCTCTCAGGGAAATTATTTCGCACTTTTTCCATTAATGGCAAAAATGCAACCTTTCAGGATAACCTGGAATGACTTTCAATCATGTGGGAACCTACTTATGTTATTGTAGAAAGTGTTCTATGCGGACAACAGTGCTATATATTCACGTACTTCTATAAAATCAACAACTTTAAGATCATGGTTTTCGTCGAGGAATGTACTTTCACCAAATCATTTCGTCGGTTCACCATAATTTATAAGCAATGACAGAAATGTATTTGCAGTGGCAAACGCAGAAATACTAATTTCAGAAAATTGTATTTTGAACGTTTTCTGACGTTTTACACAAGACGCTGCCGAGACTTAATTGCAAAGTGGATGATAGTTTATAAGAACTCCACTGTGGGTCGCATTGAACAATATATCTACATCCAAAAATAATGAACATTCCAATATAATTGAGAAAGTTATTTCAAAATGAGATAGTTGAACAATATATCTACATCCAAAAATAATGAAAATTCCAATATAATTGAGAAAGTTATTTCAAAATGAGAGAGTTGCATTTATTGTTTCAGCCAGCTGTTGTGTCAAGTATTTACTCGCGTAAGTAAGTCACAATACCCTACACCCATACTGTGGTCTGTATTACAGTGAAGTTGCAAATGGTGCGGGTTTTCTCTATCTTTGTCTATAGGGCTTTTCTAGTAATAATAAGCTTACAATGCAAACTGCTCGATGAATCTGTACAATGTGAAGTAGAATGCTTGGAATATACACAGAATACCTTCAGAAATATGGAAATAAACGCCCTCCATTTCCACTTCACTGTAGCCTGTATCCTTTTGTATCCATAATACAGGCTACAGTATGTGGGGTGTAAGTATATATATATCACTGTTAATCCTTATACACCAATGTTATGTAAGTATAAATGGCAATTCACTTGGTGTGTAGGAAGTAGGGCCCTATGTAATTATTTACGTCTGTCAGACAACAGCCTCTTTTTAATTCGATTGTATCGTTAACTAATTTGCAATTACACCAAGTCTGCTTGTAAATGATGGATTTCTTTTGCATATTGTCTTATGTGTTTATCACATTCTGGGATATTACTGAACACAATTTGATTGATGAATGTAGGACTATTGATAAAATAATATGATTTACCTAACTTTCATCGAGGATGCATGATTTTCGTTGAACAGAAAGTTGGGAGAAAAATTGTGTTTCTTAAATGATGATGTTATGATACCTTTTGGTGGTGCAGGGTGTATTTAAATTTAATACTTTGTGCGCTAGCCCATAGTTTGAGAGATTTTGATTTTCTTGCGACTCGTTGTACTCATACATGTACTAGAATAGTAGATGTTCCATTTTTCCTGTGTGTTAACTCGTCTTCTACTTGGGTCTTAATAATCTTTGGTTTTAGCATACGTTATTTCACCCAGGTACAACACTCTCAAATGACTGCTTTATTGAACTAAAATCTTCAATTCATATTGAAGTAAAATCACATCTACAAAAGTACATTTTGTATACTATTCAATAAGTCATACTTTTCTATTTCACTAGTGATATCAAATCCTTTGGTGACTATTTCACTTAAAGAGAGAATCAGATATAGCGAGCAGCCAAACAAAAATTGTTTCAATTTTATATTTCTGGCTTGTGACATTCCTTTTCATGTCTATTTTCTAAAAATCCCCAGAGTACACACTTTATTTCAGGAAAACTAAAGATTTTTACAATAATGTATTATTTTTCTATTGTAATCGTAACCATTCTTATTATATGGGAGAATTTAAACATTTTTCACCCCGTTTTGCACTTTATAATCCATTATAACTTCACCAATTTATAATATATTGAAGATATTTTGGGAGATTTTGTTTTGAGATTGTAAGGAATAGATTGGCAGGCAATTGTACATGTTGCTTGTAATTTTGTCACCCCCATAGATCTGATTCATCCTTTAACTTAAGCGTTTCTAGTTTATTTCTACTGGAATGTCATATTGACCAGAGCTAATCCGTGTTGATGTCCCTAATTGCATTTTTTCATTTTCCGGTAAAATAAAGTCGATTGTAGTTTTCCGTCGGGGTAGTCTATTCTTTCTAAATCAATCATGAAATTACTTTGGGAGTTAGATCATATTTCAAGGTAGCGATTGGTGATGTAGAAGTCCATATTTTTAGATCGTGAACAGGCCATTTTGTCTAACTCGCACTCAACTCGTCTTTTACTTGGGTCTCAAACAACTAGAGTTTTTTTGTGTCCGGGGTATACTTAAGTTAACTACATCAACCCTATAAGATGAACATCTTGATTATCAATTCCCCTACAGCTGAGTTATGCGGTTCCACTCTTTCACCAGTTCGCTATTTACTCACGATATCTGTCATCTTGTCCGCTGTAATAGTTTGATCTGTCTCCTTGGGAGACCTCCCCTCTTCTGGTGTCTTCATCAGCATACCTTTTGTCATAATCGTCATAATATCCATCATAACCTCTCTGTTGTTTGTCATAGTAGCCATTGTATTTGTCATCATAATGATCTCTTTCATTATCATCATAGTAGTCGTCATCATAGCTATGACTGTGTTCATAGTGTCTCTCTTCTCTGTAGTTTTTACGGCCAGAGTATGTTGTTAGATCTGTGTAACTATGTGAGTCATAACCCTTTTTACTATAGTGCTTGTCATGGTTGTCACTATAACCTTTTGCATCTCTGCCATCTGAGTTCAGATCATTATAGACTGCTTTGGCATCCATGGGGTTAAGATTAGTCTGTCCATTTTGACCTTTTTTGATATCACCCCTTCTTCTAACTGAACTGCTGTATTTCAATTCGTCGTCCACATTTGGAAGATCGTTATAGGACCCATTTCTACTTTTCACTTTTGCACTATTATTTGTTCGTTTAGATTCACTAGATTTTCTGGTTGGTTTGGTTTGTTTCATATCGCTATCGTCCAAGCTAACGAGATCATTATAAACATTTTCAAAGTCCAAAGCTTTTATAGAGTTTGGTCGTTTTGTCTCACTCTTTCTCTTACTGGATGGCTGCCTTTTCATATTATCTTCAATGTTTATTACATTCCCATATTGCTCTTTTGTACTAGTTAGAGTCAAATTAGGTTGAGGTCGTTTAGTTTCACTTTTTCTTTTAGTTGGGTTGTTCCTTGTATTATCTTCTACTATACGATCTCCGTATGCATCAGTCATATCCGGTGGACTGGCACTGCTTTTGGAACGTCTTGTCTCGGATTTAGGTTGATTTAGTATTCCACTATTACTACTGTCTATTCCCAATAAACCAGTTACTGTATTACTGACATTTGATAAACTGGCGAAAGGTTGAGGCCGATTAGTGTCAGAGAATCGTTTTTCAGTCTTTGGACTTCCGTGGGGCTGGTATTGAGTATTTTGCTGAGATTGAGACTTAAACGAATTCGGATTATTTTGTGGCGTTGATGCAGTTGCTATAGGGACAGCAGCTGGGCCTTGTTCGGCCTCTTGCTTTGCTATAGATAGTTGGTAGCCATGTACCTGCTTCTCAAGGGCGTGGTTTTCTGCCTGTAGCGCCATTATCTCTTTTCTGAAAAAGAATGATCAATTTTATCATTCTGATATTTTTGCGCGAGAAATGAAAACTTACCTTCTAGAATCATATATTAGTGAATAAAAGGAAATATAGCAACAATTGTATGTCATATTGATGTATAGTATATGAACAGAATGTTACTTTTAAGGTCAGGGTGCATGATGGGAAATTTTCTGCATTCCTCAATTGAGTCACATGTTATTTTTCAAACAAGAATCGCCCCTTCTCCCCATTGTCTATATCTTCCAGGTTTGCACAAAGACTGCACTTATGTGCCTAGAAAAGACTTGTGAGAAGATTTGTTTTGTAAAATGTAAAAAAACGAGAAAATTCAGTGAAAAAAAAATTCTGAAAATTTTCTGAATTTTTTCACTGAATTTTCTTGTTTTTTATACACTTTATCAAAACATTCTCCTCACAAGTCTTTTCTAGGCATATAAGTGCACCCTTTGTGTAAAGCTAGAAGATATAGACAATGTGTGGAAGGAGTGATTCCTATTTGAAAAATAACATGTGACTCAATTGAGGGATGCAGAAAATGTCCCATCATGCACCCTGACCTTAAAGACCGAAATATCAACTCTATCGTAGACACTAAAGTCAACATATCTTACGTCATTTGATGTTTGTGCGTTGCAGTGATGTCATCATGTCGGTGGTACTTTGCATGGTAGAGTAGATGGGAATCCTTCCATTCAATGTGGAATGTCATCTTGTTATCTCCATCCAGGTACAAGCTCTCGGGATCATTGATCTTAAAATACAAATATAAAAGTCAATTTAGAAAATGCTTCATTTGTGTTGGATGTACATTATATAACATAGTAATGTGATTATGAACATGTCGACCTCGTGCTGTGAATAGTACAATAATGTCATTTCTAAGGGGCCCTCGGTCCAATATTTAACGACCAGGGCTGAAATAGCAAAAAAATCTTACGCTCTGAACGATATCTAATTTCCCGGGGAAAAATTGCCGGTCCAGAATATATTCTAGACCGATCCATATGGACCACCACTATGACGTCACACATTTCTCAGGTCGATATAGTAAAATGAATGCCTTCTAAACTAGCACTAAAACCCCTAGAACTGGCCCGGCAAGGTGGTAATAATATGATGTATCAGTGTTATTTCAAATATACTTTTGTGCCTCATGTAATGTTTAAAAGGATTTAAGCCCTGGACTTGCGTGCTGAATAATTCCATTGAAGTTGTTGTTTCTAAATCTTTGCATGACGCGCAGTGGCAATGCAGCGTTTAGGAAACAACGCCTGGGTGGAATGAAGCAGCTACAATGCATTGAGTCTTGGGCTTAAATTCTTTTCACTCATTGCAATTGCAAAATGTTTTCTACAAAAGATAGAAAATCACTAAAAGAACATATTTTCAATGCCACTTTTTGCAAGGGTCAAGTTGGCAAAGCATCAATTTCAATCTCTTCACCTTGACAACCATACAACAAATACGTTATTGGTTATATAACGGAATGCAGTTACGTGAAATAGCGTGTTCTGATTGGCTAGAATTGGACACACCTTGCCTAGCTATGTGTGAAATCTAGTCTATTTGCGTGTCCAATCACAGAATTCGTAAATGCGATGATGTCTCAATAAGTATTTGCAGTTTTACTTTTTTTACTTCGTTATTTGTATTTCAAATCGTAATTTGATTTAGGACATTCAGTCTAATTCATTGGTTTGTCCATCGGTCTTGAGCACTGAACACGCTAAGCTTGGTGCTATCGCCATAACCATGTGAGGTCGTGAGTTCGAAACGCATGAGGTCCTTGCATTTATGCATCATCGATTTACTAGCGGGTTTGTATTAATATTATGAATGTATTTTGGTGCATATAATAGATTTTAGTTACTGCACTGTATGCATTGTAAGATAGATTACGCTTTTTATGAACGAGTTTGATTTGGTTTTTGTTAATTAATTGTTTCTTCGATTGTTATTAACATTGGATACTTCTCAGGCAGATATTGTTGTACTTTGTTACAATGGGTTTCATATTAATCAATAAAATAAGGTATTTTTCAGGCAGTACTCAATCAAGTCAATTACAGGTTTATTTGATTTTCTGCTGATTGGATGAATATGATCAAAGAATTATGAAAACCTAATAATATTTATCAATAGACCTGTAAAGCAACGGAGTGTGCAATTTGTAATATTTGGATGTGAGTTCGGATTATACACAAAATGAGACACCATAGTACATAGTAGAATAATTGAATTGTAGAATAAGCACTCTCGTGAGATCTCGATAGGGTGCTCAATATAACTTATTTCTTGAACTGGAGACTAAAGAACAAAGGTGATATGTTGAGGGCACACAACTGGGGCATATTGTCCTATTTCACAAACGATTGCCCTAAATAGCTGAAATATATACTTTTACGAGAATGATAATTTATAATGCGTAGTTTTGAATTTCTTTGCAAAATAATGAGTGAATGTACTAACATAGGTGGAAATAAGTAGAGTATATTTTTCTGTGATGATACGGACGATCTTTGGGATATTTGACCAATTTCCCCCATAATTAAACAAATTAATGAATAAATGTGCTTTACTCTATGTAAAACAAGATATTGTAGTCGTGTTCAGTTTTTCCTCCAGTCAAAATAATTGACATATCGTTCCCCGGAATATGTTGTTTTAAGCAAAATCGCTACTTCCGGGAAATAATATGTCACTAAATAATCTCATTACTTTAAGTAATACATTTTAATTAAATTTGACACATTAATCATGCACTACGCCTCTGTTCCATTTCCTTCAATATCCAGTCTTTTTACAACCAATTCGTATAGAAGATGGAGAAGTGGGGAGACGTACATAATACAGGTCTTATATAAGACTAACATTTTTACAACGATAGTTTGATGTGAATTTAGGATTGTTTTGATGTAAACTGGGTGTCCACATATAATTACAATTTTCGGTTAAATATATATCATGGCTATTTGTAGAATGCAATTTTCAAAGAAATCGTTTAAAAATTTCAAAACAAAACATTTTTCAGTTGCAACTGAGAAAAGACCAAGGCAGCCAACATTTTGCTGTTTTCAATATGATTTTATAGGATTTATCATGTTTATATTCATCTGGAAATGCAAAAGTCAAAGATCCCAAACATTCATTAACTCAATCGTGCAAAATGCTCTTAACATTATTAATATTATCCCATGGGAACGATCTACGTGTAGCGAAGTCGAACCTATTGTTCCCTACCCGAACATCCACTATAATTCTTTTAATCCATCTGAACGGAGTAATCACTTACCACGTGGTATGCCTAATGAAATCAGGTTTCTATTGTTTTAAATGCATTAGGGGAATAATCTCAGTCTGATTCTCATGAATCTAAAATATCCAGAAAAAGGAAACTGAGATTGCTATGATGGAAACAGAACTAATTTTTGGCTCACACAGTGAGCCTATGGGATCGACCAGGCGTCCGTCCGTTGGTCCGTCCTTCGGTCGGTCCGTTCGTTGGTCCGTCCGTCAACATTGGCCTTACAAATTAAAACTGCTATTCGGATTGAGTCATATCCACATTCATTTTATGCATATCCATAATGCCTATTTGACCTATCATCGCCATTTCCTAACATCGCCCGGTTTCCGAGAAATTGCGGATTTTGACGTCAAAAAGTCAAATTCTCTGTAAATATTAGACACTTTGTTGAAGTACAACTTTCAAATAACTTTTAGTAGTTGCTGTATATGCAACTTATGTCCTCTGAAGATTTCAAAGCTCTTCGAATTACAGTTTTTGGTGTTTACTCTATAAAATTTGACAAAAACTAGGACTTCGTCATTTTCAGGAAACTTTCTCATGTATAAATTTAATGGCAGGTTTTGTGATTGACAAGTTTCTCAAAGTTTGCCTTATACTTGATCATTTCTTTCAATGAATTACATCATTACTACATTTAAGCATTCCCTACATATTGCTCAATAATATATGTCAGCATCAAATTTTTACCGTTTTTGAGATATTTGATGTAAAAAAATAGTAAAAATAAGTTATTTTTCAACTTGCTTCAATTTGACCAAATTTTTTAAAAATCATCTATAAGTTGCCAGGAGTTCAAATCTGACATTGGTTTTAGGATTTGACCTTTACTTGGCCTTCAGTGACCTTCGAAAGGTCAAAAAAGTTGATTTTTCAAATTGATTTTTGGATGTAAATTTTGGTCAGCTTAATCACAAAATACCTTATTGAGCTCTGAATTAGTAAAATTTTCAAGGTCAAAGGTCATCAAACTAGGTCACACAACTGTGCTATCTAAGTTTCTCAAAGTTCGAGACTACAAATCCAAATCAATATTTTTGTTTTAAAGTCAGGATATACATTCCTCTGAAGGTTCCAAGCTGTGTGAGCACAGGACCGTGGGCCCTTCATTACTTTTACATTTCCTAGTTGATATTGTTCACAGTAGTTTGTGTGTGTGTCTGTGCTTACGTATGGGTGTGCACGCGTGCGTGTTGCCCTCAAATTATGGATGCGAGCGTTTTGTTGTAAACGTTCATAACTATACCTTGTCGATTTAAAAGCAATATATTTTTTCTACATAGTGCCAGCTGATGTACAAATGCATTTTCTATGTTTATACAATAGCCCAAGCATGGCAACATAAAAGGGTAGTCATTTAGGTGCCGTATAGCACCTTCGACGTTTTACTGAACATGAAAAAATGACCAGAAACATACCAAATGTCTGTCAATTTCATCTATTTATGGCCCTCTTGAGCTCTCATATGAGTGATAAAATAGACACATGGTGTTTAAAGTGGGCAATTAGTCATTGCATGATTGCGTGACCTCCCAAGATCAATAAATCAATCGATGGGCCTTAACATCCATGTTTCCACAAAATCATGGCAACTGACCAAATTACAAACGAAAGGCGTGAAAAAGTGAAGGATATCTACAGAACTGCGTTTAAATTACTGAAATTAAGTCAAAGCATCTCACTCGTTTCTCATCTCTCTAAACTCATAAGATTTCTTCTTAAACTCCAAACACAAATGATACGTCTTTACATCAAACTACAATCGACATCCTCCATCCATTCAATGAGAACGAGTTAAAATGTGTTGTAAATATATACAAAAGCTGATGTATTCAAACTCATTTTCGTACAAAATACCGGATACATGATTAATCTGAAGAGAGGAGGAACAACACCTCTAAATATCCCTTATATGTGTATCGATTGATGAAAATCACCATATTCATTGTCCACCAAAAAGGCAACCATTACTTGAGAGTCAAACAACAGTTTTAAACTCACAAACAAGGCACCTAAATATGCTATTGGTGTATCATCAAACCATTCCATGATCTGAAGGAACTGAAAAGTTCTCATGTTTTAGTACGTCTTTCAGGTTTTCTCTAATCACTACTAACATCATAACCTATGCATACTGGGGGGCGAGCAAAAGGGTTTGAGTGATTTTCACTCTACTATACCTTGCATTTAATGTTCATGAGCAACACAATTAGACAAACAGAGTATCTTATGCATTGATAGTTGTTAGGTATAGTGGATGAATTTTAGTAATTGTTGAGGTCTAGTCCATACTATGATGGTACTAGTTTAATGGATATCTCAAAATGTGTTGTGTTGTGATTCGTGTTACCCTGTGCCATAATGCTACTCAAATTATCAAGAAAAGCTTTACCTTATTATTTATGAAGGATTTGAAAAGTTGATCGGATAGGATTGTCCATCAA